GTTGAGCAGTCATACAATATTATTGTAGTTCTCTCTATTAAGTTATATAAAATTATGCGTTAGGATATGGAGTCCTAGGTATCGGTTTTGTTCAACAGAGAAAAGTGGGGAATTTTTAAAGGATACTGTAGACGTCATAGGAAGTCATAGGTTTACGACAAAGAGTAAAGGTAATTTGATGGGATTTATTGGCATTTATTTTAATTATCCAGTTTTGACACCATTCTCCAAGGTTTGTGATACTTGATTGAAGAGTTTGTGATGCAATTGATAGATTGTTATTAACTGTTAGGGTATATGTGTCATCGGCATAAATAGTGATGACAGTATTAGGATTGGTTGGGATATTACCACTACTACAGTCGTCCTTTATAACACTCTCTTATCTATTTATTTTTTAATTATTATCTATTGATTGATGAATATGCTGTGTGATATAGCAACTCAACACAGTTGAGCAGTCGTGCAATATTATTGTAGTTCTCTCTAGTAAGTTATATAAAATTATGCGTTTCAACGAGTTTCAGGACGCCCTTATCGTGTTAGAAATTAATGTATTATCAAATTAAAAATATCCCAGGTTTGAACATAGAAACTCTTTGTTTTTCGAGGATTTTTTTTATATTTTAATATCATATTCGAGTTTGGTGGCCTTGAAAATGTAAGGGTATTAAGTATCAAGTTAATCCGACATCTGGTGTAAAAATTGGAGAATAAAAATAAATTCCCAACTAATCCAAAATCACTTTACCCTCCGCGTAAACCTATGACCCTCTTGTCCTACAGTATCTTCAAATAAACGTCCACTTATATTCCTGGTTGAGCAAATCCGCTACTTAGGACTCCACCTTGACATAACGACTCACTGGGAAACCCCCATACCAGACTGAAACGACTAGAAACCGCCCGACGTTTTCGACTACTGCAGCACTTAACTAGACAAAACGATCTAAGCTTTCAATCAATTATAACGACTCGTATATATGAGACAATAATAATACCTATTTGGACTTACGGAATTGAGTTTGTGCCTCCACTAAACCATCGAATTCATCTCGTTCCAATCCTTACAATCCCGAAATCCTTCGTAAAATCCTCACGCTCCTTACCTTAGTCACAAATAAAATCATCCATAAAGACCTTAATGGTCCATATGTTTTCCGATCTGGCCCAATTCCAATACCTTTCCTTCCATAACAAACTGCAGAATCATCCGAGATCCCTCTCGTTTACAAACCTGCTTCATCCTCGATCCCTATAACCTCCGAGGCGTCTGGAAAGAAGATGCCTCGGGATCTTCTATATAGAACTTTAATTTGAGTTCTACCAATGGTAGTTTCTCTTCATGTTGTACATGCCATGTTTACAAATTTCTCAATTACTTATTGTAATTCTCTATGTAATACAGTTTGTAAATTCCATGAAATAAAAAAAAAAAAAAAAAAAAAAAAGCCGACGATCATTTACAAGTCAATGTCTATGTCCAAGAAAACCAATCTATTGTCCCACAGTGCGTTGTAAGAAACGGATCCATGAAAAAGAGAACTGTGTACTCATAAAACGCCAATACGAAGATAAGAATGCTCTAGGTTTCTTTGGGGCTGTAAGACGTACTAAATAGAGATTTAAGCCAAGAAAGTACTTCATAAAGGACGAAAGGACTTTCTGACTAGCCAGGGAGAGGTAATGAATAGCTGGAATCGGCATTTTCCGAGTATGCTGATCAAGGAAGAGGAAGAGGGTAATGAAAAGGTAAATCTGTATGACCTCGATCTGGATCAGTCTCTACAAAACGAAATGGAGGCAACGCAGAAGTACGTTGAGTGAGAGGAGGTTATGGAAGTACTCCTCAACATTAAAAATAATGAAGCTCCTGGGGTAGACTGTACACCAGTGGAACTATTGATGTATGGCGGAGATACATTACTCAGTTAGCTGGATGAAATAATTTTCGATGTGTGAATGATTAAAATTGTGTTATCTGATTTGTATGCCGCTCTTTTATGTCCCATCTACGAAAAGTGATAGGCTGCGATGTGATAACATTGGGCAACAAATAACGAATTTTTGGATGTTTCCAGCAATTCATGAGTCAATTCTTACTAATTTCGGGTTGAGAAAACGAATATGACAATGAAAATTTTTTTCTTACCTCTAGTTTCTGTGATATACACTAGGTGGAAGTATTTCATTTTAACGGGTTAAGAGAAAAAGATACATTTTCATTATATATGCTAACAACATTTAAAGCTCATTTGATTTTTTAAAATAGTAGTTATATTCTAAGAGTTCTAAATTGTTGGAAGAATGCCTCGCAGATGGTCGTGTCTGAAGAGATTATGTGGTGGCTTCATGAGATTGGCGTCTTTTAACTTGCCTCTTGGAGGGAGTTCCGGAGCTCCCTATACAAAGACCAACAGTAATCCGCAAGCATTGCTTCACTCCAATGGCCCTGATATTTTTGTCCATTAACAGAAATATCCTGATGGAATCTTTCTCCATGTTTATCAATAACAGCTCCACAACTAGGAGGAAAAAGTCTAGGTGGGAGAGAAGAAAATGGATTTTAAGGGACATGTTGCATCAAAGGTTATGGTACTTTTGCAGCAGCACTGTCACCAAATGCGTGTAGTTGTCATATCTTTAGTTGCCTAAAAATCCACGAGCAACTCCTTTAAAGTCTTCCAGGCTTCCTTTTCTTTCCCTTCCAAAACTTTGTCAAAATGCAGGATCCTTCACAAGTACTCGAATTTGTGACCCAACAAAAATGCCTTCCTTAACTTTTGCATCAAATAATTTCGGAAATTTCTCTCTTATGTACTTAAGGGCTCGTCCTTCTTGGTTAATACCTTTGACAAAATTTTTCATCAAACCCTGCTTGATATGCAGGGGTGGAAGTAGAATATCTTTTGGGTCCACGACAGGCTTGGCAACGACATTTTTCTCGCTAGGGTTAAGATTTCTTTCAGGCTAGTCTCCTTTAATATAATGCAATTTGCCATCTCTACTGTCCCACATACATAAGAAGCAGCCATGTTTTGTGTACCCTAGTTGGATTCTGATGAGTATGGCAATGACTTTTAGATGATCACCATAGATTTTCCATTTGTGTTCATGATATTTGAGTATGTCCAAGAGAGCTGTCATATTTGCATATTTCTCCATCATGTGAACTGCATGACCAACAGGAATAGAAAAAACAAGGTTGTAGTTGTGAAGTAACACAGCTTTCAAACTAGGCATGGAAGAGTATATAAATAGCCTCCATTCAGTTGGATCATGGTTCAAATTCGAAGCTTTCATCAAGCCATTAATGTTGCAGCAAACAACAAGATTAGTTTACTTCTCGAAAAAGGGTATCAGTTCCCTGTGACGTTTTCTGTACTTGGTGGATTAGCTACTGGTAAACTATCTGAATGTAGAATGGATCGAATAGCAGATCGAAGATTCGGGCACTGAACTGTTCTTTTCTTCATAGGCAATCCTGCCTTTATAGGTGGAATCAAGCAGAAATAGCAGTTATCTCTATGGTTTGTAGGCTCCCGCCAAACCATAGAAACAGCGAAAGCAATAGATCGTTTCTTATTTCTCATCCTTTCTCGCAGTGTAACTGAATATGCATTGCAGTACATATGTGGAGCCCGAGACTTATCCTGTTCTCCTTCTTTCATACCGAAATAATGCTGACAGGCATTCTTTACAAGAGGCGTCAGATTGCGTTCTGTGAGGAAAATATTATTTCACCACAAATATATCAAAAACTATTCACCACATTTACACATTTTCGTGGGTTTTTACGAATTTTACACTAAAAAAGCTTTCTCAAACCAGAAATTCTACATTAATTACAGCAGAAACTACATCAAACCCACAGTCACAGCAACTTTAACTATCTTTATGACTTACAGACAGCTGAAGAGCATTTTTGTTTTGTTATTTGACAGGTGCACCAACTCCAAAAACAAAAATCCCCGAAATTGAAACTTTTGACTCTAAAAAATGAAATGTCACTTTATCTCCAAAGCAAAAGCTAATCTGTCATTTTTATGGTGATTTTTTAATTCAGCACATGGAAATATATATGAATTGACTATTTTTGAGCCCGACACATTTTCATTGTTGCCCAGGTAATTAGAAAGGTTTAGCTCTCCTTAGTTTAGCATGGTCTACAATGTTCTGTCTTTGATTTGCAGGAAATTTAAAGTATGCTTAGAAAGAATTGTCGGTGACTACGAAAGCGGATTTAGGTATGAAAAATCGATAATAATCGATGGATGATAATGATAATGGAAATAATCGATAAAACATGTTAATCAACACTGGCTGGTCATTAATTATAATGATCATTTCCGATTTGTCTTCTGAATATTCATGTCATAATAAAACATTAGTGACACTTTTTAATTTATGGATTATTGAATTGTCGAATGTTATTTGGTAACTTAATTGACCATCTCACTTCCTATTCATACTTTTAAATGTTTATACATGTAGGGTTGCCAGAAGGGGATTTCATGGCGCAAGTTGCGCCATAAACGTTTTGAGGGGCACACATTTTGACTAGGTTTTGAATTTTTTAGGGGTGGACATTTCGACAAGGTTATGAATTTTCCAAGTGAAAAGTATCAAACCAAGGAACATGAGAATATGAAACCATCGCTAACAATTAGGAAAGTAAGACAGTCCGTGAGGGAAAAGTTCTTGGGTAATTGGAGCAAATGCAAGTGGCAGAAAAATACATAGACCAGACTACAGGAAATGTAATTGTATGTGATCAACAATTTTTCTAGTTAAACTTTCGCTTGAACTGTTTTTCAAAAGTGGAGAGCAATAAATGTTCTTGGGAAGGGAGGGGAAGTCCATGCCCCATCAAACCAGGGTAGGAATGGACAACCCTTCATGTACATATTAATGGAAGTATCCAATGACGCCATATTTAAAAATATTTCGTTGACATTTTGTTTAATCAACCTCCTAGCAATTCAGATAATCCACTATTTCTGTTTTAATTTGTTATGTAATACTTAACTATGTTTTCTTGTAATATTGTCACTATTGTCTTTTTTCAATTTCTTTTGCAATATGTCTTGACAAAAAATGTACTGGTTTTGGTAGGTAAGGTCATACATATTTTCAAACAATATAAAATTAGTTATTTTATACATTAATATTTTTTAAAAACTATATTATAATAGATGTATGTACTCTAAATTACGAGGTAAACATTATTTTTAAATTTCAAATATAAAAGTGGTTCATCTATGTGGCAATGAAGATTACATACCTTTTCAGTAAGAAAAAACATCTATAGATATATGTAAGCCAATGTATAAAATGTATTTCCAAACATCTTGCACATCTTTAGAGATATTCAGAGGTGCTGTGACTTCCTGCATGTTTCAGAAAACCCTCCTCAAGTGAGGTGAAAATACTGATTCAATTCAAAATGGATGCTTTCTAGTTCTATTGTTTGTTCATGTTAAAATAGCTTCATCAATGGCTTCAGGGAAAAGTTATAGATTGGGCTTTAAAATGATCATACAGTGGAGGCTAATTCATTTTTTTATGATAGTAAAAATATGAGCGGTGGCTGAAGTCAACAGTGGAGAGCATCATGTCTTCAAAAGTGTAGTTTCTATCTTTCAAGTTTTGCTTTTCCATTTCCTATAATTCACACATACCTTGGTATCTATAACAATCTCAGATCCCTGAACTTGCTATTGAATTGAGTAATTTTCTTCATATTGTATTGCCACAATTCGTATTATTGTTGAATGAAAGATTGTGATGCCTAAGAGTAACTTTTAAAATGCAACAGTTGTCCTGGTCCGAAGAAAGAGAAAGTGATTCATTTGTAAAAATATGCACATTGTGGATAGAGATGGTGAATAATCCATCGTTGATGGTGAGCATGGTTGCTTGCTCAAGTTTAACATCCTATCGGGAAAACTAGATGTGACTGTTGTTGGGTTTAAAATTTGGAATGGATGGACTGGAATATGTTATTTTACACTCATTAAGTGCAGTGATATTTTTCTTCTTAATTTTGATACAATTGCTAGAGGAGTAATTTGTTATTTAACCCTTTGCTGCTGGACTCTGCATTTTCCAATTACAATTGCATGAACTTAGTATTATTTTATAATATTTTTGTGAAATGAATCTTGCCATATTAATTAGAACTGGTGATTACCTCTAAGAAGTCATTAAGGGTAGCGAAAAAGGAACAATAGACCCGTTTACTGGACCAAGTACCAGAATAAAGTTTTTTTTATCTATCTATCTATATTTTTTAACATTTTAAGTGAACGTTTATCTATTTGCAATCTACTAGATTCTTCCTCTACACACGTTATTCATCATTAAATAGACTTATATAATTAGTAAAATATCCGACACGGTTAACAAAATATTTTAATAAAATTTCAGTTGATGATGGAGGATTTGAAATAGGTGCTTATGGAAACAATGTAATTAAAACACCAAACATTGATCTGCTAGCAGCAAGAGGTCTTTTATTCAATAAAGCTTTTACATCAGTAAGCAGTTGTTCACCAAGGTATTGGATTTATTGTTTAATTATTGATTAATTAAATGCAATGATAAGATTCTATATTTATTTATCTCTTCTACACATTATGATGCCAAAACTTATACTTAAATTACATTTAATGCAATTTTTTAAATTTTAAAGTAAATGTTTTCAAGTCACTTTTACATCTCTTCAAGATGACAAATTATAAATAACACTTTGCCAGAATGTGATTTTATGACATTCAAGTAACTACAATTTGCCATCTTTTTTATCTTATATACTAAAAGAAAATGGCTTGATATTTTTTGTTGACTGAAAATCGACAATGAGACTCTGGAATGTGAAAAACTGTTTTTTATCAGTTTTAATGTGAACAATTTTTTTCAGTATAATAAAATTTTGCCATCAGAGAAAATTCCCTTCCACTTCCTAATAATTCCTTCTTTTACTGCTTCAGTTTGCTCTAATGCAGAAGTCCCAAACCTGTTGATGCCTGAGGTCACATTTATAGGATAATAGTAAAGTAAGGAGAAGCACTTTGTATTCATTTTCCAGGATTTTTCATTGTTTGATATTGTCAATAATAATAAATTAGAATATTTTAGCACATAAAAAAGCATTAATTATGTTCTTGTTTAAAATTATTTATAATATATTAAAAATGTATACAAAATATAAAATTTCTTTATAAGTAATATAAGCGCTTAAGGTAACGTAATATTTGTACTATATTTCATTGGCCAGTACTTTGCAGAAAATTATTATATGATAATCTGAAACAATTAAATAAGAAACAGGCCTATGAGCGCATGACTAATGATTAGATATGTTGAATTGAAAATTAGCAATTTTGTAGTTTAGTTTTCCTTCCTGTAAAAATAATGGTGAAAATTTTCTGGAAAATATTGTTTAGAATCGTTGATATCAGTAATGACTATTTTCAAAGAAACACAATTATATTTCAAATTAATGACTTATAAGACATTTTATATTTAAAAAACTCATTGAAAAGCAGCACTGCAGAATGCAATTACTGGCTGCAAAGGTGGTCGCTGCTGTAGGGTAGGATAAACATGCACTGGATTAGGGACCTCCTGCTCTAAGGTAGAAATTTTAAATTACTTTTAGTCTGCTAACTGGTTGCTGTTAGTAGGATCCTTTAATTTTTTTCTTTAATAATTTATCTTCTAAAAACATTTTTTTCAGATCATTTCTTATTTATATATGAAACAATAATTCTAAAATTGGTAGAACAAATAATTATTTGCATACATAATCATACTTATTTCTTTAAAAACTGATTTCAGTCGTGCATCTATCTTAACTGGACTTCCGACCCATCAAAATGGAATGTATGGATTACATCATGGAATTCACAACTTTAATTCCTTACGAAATATAAAAAGTTTACCTATAATTTTATCAAATGAAGGGATCAGAACAGGTAATATACCATTTTACATTACATGATCACCTATATTCTTTCTAATCCAATCTTATTGTAATGTATCAATGACTTCACCATAAATCAAACACAGACAACTTCCATTTATTGTTCCTGATTACATTTGTGTTCTTAATAACTAAAAAAAAACAACATATGACTCACTACCAAAAAGATTAAATATTAAATTGATATAACATCAATTTAGTATTTAACCCTTTAACAAAAAGTTAATATAATATACTAAATTCTTTCCACCCTCAACAAAACAGCAATTTAACTAAACAAACTCTTAAATTTTCTCTTTTTACAACAAACAGTCTTTTTACAGGTTTTGTAGTTCTCCGTAGACACATTCGAGTTACTTCACAGAGAGCAGCCATCACAATGGGACTCTTCTCCAACAGCATAGGCAAAGCGGTGGATATTTGAGGAACAGATGTGTTATATTTTTAAATATAAATCAAAATAAATGTTTAGTTACCGTTGAACATTGAAAGTGACAGACCGGAGGACTTCGGGAAACACGTGCTACACATTCCAAGAGAAGGATTACTATTAACTAAGAGTATATCGGGACAAGAAATCTACAAAGATTCTATTTTTCTGAAGGTGTTAGGTTTCATCGAAAGAGGTTGGCCTGATCTAAAAAAATTAACGAAGGAATTTTTGCCATACTATGACAAAAGAGAAGAATTGTCCTTCGAGGATAAAATGTTACTATGGAAAGGACGAATTATAATTCCGTCAACCCTAAGGAAATCATGTTTGGAAATGATGCACCAAGGACACCCTGGAATTTCAGCCATGAGATCTTTTGCTCGTTTTCATGTATGGTGGCCGCGAATTGACTCCAACATTGATGAATATGTTCAGAAATGCCGAAGCTGTCAAGAAAATCGTTCAGCCGATCTGGACCTGCCACTTTGTTCATGGACTATCCCAAACGAAGTCTGGTCCAGAGTGCATATAGATTATGCTGGGCCATATGAAAATAAATATTGGTTTGTGATTGTGGACGCTACCTCAGAGTGGTTAGAAGTGATCCCAATAAATAGTATCATTTCCAAAGAAATGATTCGGCTATTAAGGGAAATCTTTTCAAGACTTGGTTTACCGAAAGTCTTAGTGCCCGATAATGGGCCTCAATTTACTTCTGAACCTTTCAAAAATGTTTGTACTTCAAATAATATAAAACATAATTAATAATAGAGCCGAGGAATGAATGCAGCTCCTTGACATTAGATGGCGAGGGCATTGATTTTATTGCTTCTATGTGTTCGTTTGTTGGATGAATGCCGTATTTATCTATCCTATGGCCAAGACAAACGACCGATTGTTGTAGAAATTTGCATTTTACCATATTTAATTTCATACCTGCCGTAGACAGTCTCTCCAAAACTGCCTTGAGACGTTTGAGATGTTCTTCTTCATCTTTCCTGCTAATAATTAGATCGTCTAAGATGCATGCTACTCCTTCTACTCCTGCCATCTTTTGATATATTATCTATTGAAATTTTTCCGGTGTGAAATTTACTCCAAGTGTTAGCCTTTTATATTTAAAATAACCTAAGTGTGTTGAAATTATAAAATATTTTTGTGAATTTTCATCTATTGGTATCTGTATATAGGCATCACGCATATCAAGAACCAAAAAAAATGTACCTCCTTGAAGCGTGGCTTTAATATCTTAGAAACGCGGCATTGGGTGTTGATAACTTGAGGTGTAAGGATTTATGGTTACCTTAAAATCTGCGCAAATCCGAATTTTATCTGTTGGTTTGATGACGATTACAATAGGTGACACCCACTCAATAGCTTCGACATTCGTATCAATTGGTTCAAGAATCTCTTGATCTACCAAATGGTGAATTTCCTCTTCAACACTTCCACGAAGAGCAAACGGGACTGGTCTAGGTTTAAATACTTTCGGTTGAGCATCACCTTTCAAGTGAACAACCTCTTTATAGTTTTTTATTTTGCCTAAACCCGGTAAAAAAATCCCTTTAAATTTGGATAACAACTTATCCATTTAACCATTAAATTTTGTATCTTCTACATTTGGTTTTAGATGACAAATACGTGCCCCTTCGGGTAGAGGTAGATTAAATTTTAAAACCCAGTCCATACCAAACAATGGAGTTTCATCTTCTTGTATAACGGTAACGGTCAGCGTGAGTGTTTTCCCGAAAGCAATAACCTCAACTTTAGTTTTTCCTAGTGTTACCAGCGGTCAATTTGTGTAAGCAACAAGGTTACGTGTGGGCCGAAGTTCTGGAGATCCTAACTGCTGCCTCGTTCACTTACTAATAACAGACTCAGCAGCTCCTGGGTCGTATAACATCTCTAGCATTTGGAAATTTGAATTCTTTTTACCACGAACTTTTATATCAAGCATCACTTTTGTTCCGTATGAAACATTTCGTGTTTTACCCCGATACGAATTTGTGTCCGATTCATCAGAACTACTACCGTCGTTTTTGACATAAGTCAATTTGCGTGAAGAATAACTGTTTGTTACTTTGGCCCCTCCTGCTTTGAAACATACTTTTGCGAAATGATTTTTTCCATTACATTCAAAACAACTTTTACCTTCAGCTGGACATGGTCGATTGTCCTTATGAAACGAATTTCCACACCAGTGTTTTCCCTTAACTAACCTCAAGATGTTGTATGATGGTTCCGTAGCTCTCAATTGTAGTCTAGATATGGAGGTTATTTCGGTACTCTCTGAAGTTTCTAGTGTGCGATGAGCCCATTTAGTCCTCTCTAGTAGCTCTGCTGTAGCTAAGACATCTGTAAAAGTAGAGTTGACATCCGAGTACCATTCTAAGAGCTTTTCCTGCCAGTATTTGTCGTTGACCGGTCGGTTTTAATTTATTAACTTAAACACTCACTTTCCATTCTGTGACGTCTGTTGAAAATTACTCTTTCGCTTAGTGTACAATATTTTCTTACATAATACGAACGTAACGTGATTAATAAATTTTTTAAAGAAATCTCACTAACCTTATTTGGGCCTGAAGTGATCATAAAGTATTTTGAACGACTTGGGTCCTATATTGGCCAGCAAGAGATCCCTTTGACTCTCACGTGACATGACTCCACGAACTTGCAGTTCAATCGTAAATCGTTCTTCGTAATATTCCCAGTCTTCTTTAATTTTACAACACATATATGAAATAGACAAAAATAAATGTAATAATAAAAAAATAATGAAATAATAAAAAAACACTTAAACAACATATGTACATATAAAAGAAACAATATAAACACTATAAACAACATATGTACAATTTATTTTCACTTCACCTTATTTATTTTGGTAGGCAAAATAGTTTAATGCAATTTAAAATAGCGAGGAACAGATCCTCTTCTCTGTGAACCCGCCACCACAAAAATTCACATAAATATGAATCGAGGTGTTGTCTGGTAATTCCTCTATGTTTCTTATTTCTCCACTTAGCTGAGCCCCGTGATTGTTCTATGTGTTGAGTATGGACCCCAGTTGATGGATCAACAAAATTATAGCGGTGATTCACCTGAAAATGATTATTGTTTGCTTTATTCAGTTGTCGGGTGTTGTATCCTTTCCAACAGTCAGAATAAATGGAACTTCCCTCTTCTATATTGTTTTTAATACCTTGTAATAAAGTTGTTGCCTTTCTTTCGTTTATTTTGATGATAAAACACTCATCTGTTTCTAAGCAAACTCCGCCAAACATCCATTGCTCAGGTAAAACTCTCCCTACATGATTTTTTCTTTTAGAAAAAAGACTCTCGTCTACTTCAACGACTTTGCCAGGCCCTCAAATTTTTTTACTTGACCTGTATAGCATGTTATGGGCACAAACCTCTCATAAACATTTGTTCCAGGTTACCATAGTTTCCTTGGATAGTTTCAGCTGCTCTTTGCCCACTTTATAGTTGTTAAATTATGGGACCACCCATAAATAAATTTTAAAGTCATTTAAAATGAAATCCTCAACCCCTCTAACCACATTCCTTTCCTTATAGAAACTTTTTTGTTGCAAGTGGTAGGAAAGCATCTTCTTCACACAATTTCACATTTGGAATTATCCCAGCATTTTGAAAATATTCAATAGCCTCTTCTTCTGAAGACGGTAATTCCAAGAATGTAGTAACATCCATAATTTGATGAAAATAATACAAATGAAACAAAAGTAAACAATGGAATAACTCAAAACTTTCACAAGACAAGAAGGGAGGTTATGTGATGTAACATTAGAAAACAAGGGAGGTTTCGTCCAGGCCTCCTATCGGACAAGTACAAATATTTCCCAATAAAGTGGCCTAAATAATCAATGTGCAACCTCTCCCAGGGCTTGGATAACCATTTCCAAGGTACTAATGACATCTCCACTGGATTATCTTTTGTAAAATTACAGGCTCAGTATATTTGTACTATTTTTTTTATAGCCTTGTCCATTTGTGGCCACCATACGTATGAACAGGCTAATGATTTTAAATTGACGATTCCCAAATGTGAAGCATGTAACTCCTCCAAGACTTGTTGCCTTAAAAGTTCAGGAACTACCACTCTGTAACCTCATAATAGAATATCCTTCTCCACAAATAATTCTTCTCTACGTGATGAAAAAGGTTGGAGCTCCAGTCCACTTCTGTTGGTCAGCCCACTTTTGTGTACAATATAACTTTCATCAAAATTGGACCTTTCCTAGTTGCTGCCATTATCTAATGGCCCTTTTGCACAAATGATACATCTGTTTGGATACCTTTTATTAGTTTGCCCCTTTGAGACTGGTCTATCTTTTTTTCTACTAACAAAATGCACAGGTTCCTTTCTAACTACTATATCTAAATTATGCTGCCTAAATGTAGCCTCTTTTGCAGTAGCTATTTCTATAGCCCTATTCAGTGAAATATTCGCAGAATTTTCTTCGAACAGCCAATCCCTTATTGGTCCTATATTCATACCTATAACAAATTTATCTAACACAATAAAATCAAGATAATTGCTGCAAGCACAATGGAAAGCCAGGTCCTGAGTGCGGGCTACCCATTCATTTATTGATTCAGTATCTTCCATAGCTGCATTTTAGAATCTGTTACGGGCACCAAAAATTGATTCAGATGGGACAAAATATTCATCAAATAATTTGAAAAGTTCTGAAAAGGTTAAACCTTTTGGTTCCTTGGGAACATTTAATGTTGTTATAAGCTTAAAAGCTTTATCATCTAATGAATTAAGAAATAAATCGCGCCTTTGTGTTTCGTTTTGGGTACTATTTGCATCGAAAAAGCTAATAACTAAAAAAAACATATGACTCATTACTAAAAAGATTAAATACTAAATCGATGTTATATTGATTTAGTATTTAACCCTTTAACAAAAGGTTAATATACTACACATATCTTTTTAATTTAATGGGTGACATGTATTACTTTTATTTTTGTAAACAGAATATTCATTTTGAATACACAATTATTAAGACATTCAAATTTCATTTATAGTATTAAGAATTCTTAAGAAGATAAGAAAACTACCACTTACAACTTTATATTAATGGCATTTCAGCTTTCAGGCCATCTTCTGTTGAATCTAGAATCAACCCAGTTAAATTAATTATCTTGTGAAATACATTATCATAAATGAGTAAAAACTCACCAAGAGACAGAAAATTGACTTTAAATTATAATTGGAAAATTACTACCACACAGTCTTGTATCTCTAAAATTCAGGTAAAGATTAAAATAACCTGTCAATATTTCACCAATTCAAGCATTATCAAGATAGAAAAGAAAGCAAACCCAAGATATCACTCCATGATATCCAATTCCATATTTTATTGGTGGTGTGTGATTGGAAGTCATGGAATGATGTGATCTTGGGTTTCTTTTATTTTCTGTCCTGATGATGTCTGAGTTGGTGAAACGTTGATAGATTATTTTATTTTTTATCTGTATTTTAGAGACACATATTCTTTATCATCTCTAATGGCGCGACAGACGTATGAAGAGGTTGGCCTGCTTGATCTTTTTACCCCAAACAATTCTATCTGCAGCATTTTATAATATACTCATTTGTGATTGTCTTATGTCTGCGAGGTCACCAACCTGCCAGCGTGATCTGGGTCTTATCCCACCTGGCGTGTTTCTGTATGCTTTTAGAGGGCACCTATAGTCTTCCATCCTTATGACATGACAAATCCATTTTATTCTCTGCAACCTAGAGAAGTTGGAGATACTCAAGTCCTGGTATTCACCGTACAACTCCGCATTTCCACGCAGACGCTTCTTTTTCTTTGGCTGGTCCAAAGATGCATCTTAGGATCTTCCTCTCAAAGGGATTAAGCATTTACAGAACTGATTTTTCGAGCGTTGATGTTTCGCATGCGTAAGTTGCTATTGGCCTTATGAAAGATTTTTATAGCCTTATTTTCATAGTGCGACTGCTTAGCCTGCTTCTAATAATTTTAGATAAGGAGTTGGCTGCTACTAATCTGCATCTGATTTCAGTTTCCTTTTCCATATTTTCTGTTATTGTAGCTACCAGGTATTGGAAGCATGGAATGACATCAAAAGCATTTTCCCTGAATCTAACTTGTTGTGCGGCCACATCATGTTTCCTAATACACATCATTTTGGTTTTATTTGTATTCACTTTTAGTCCCATATATTTTGCTTCCTGCTCAATCTTGCTGAATGCTTCCTCCACAGCGGCTTTTGATCTCCCAATAATTGCTATATCATATAAATAAGCTAAGATTTGTGCCATTCTTGTAAATATTGTATTTCCGTGGTTTAGTCCCATCTTGTTACCAATTCTATGCAGTACTAGATTAAATAGTAGTGTTTTCAGAGCCTCACCCTGTCTCAGCTCTATGTTCACACCAAACGACCTACACAAACCGTGTGGTTGGTTCCAACCATTGCGACCTAACTTGTGGAATACAATCAGTAAAATGCTCTGATGCCTTGACTAAATGAATAATGATGGGGAAAGATGAGCATTTTTTTTTTTAGCTGGTTAAATCCACATTGCTGAAACAAAATTAATTGTTTTTATTTATTTTATATTTTTATTAATCCTTATCGAGACTAGTACTTTGGTAAATTTTAAGGATAAGTTATAAAAATAGTTTATTTTAAACTGGAAAAAAATTTAAATCATCATAGTCACAGAAAATAAATAATATTTACATTTTTTTTTAAGTGGAACACTTTAATTTGTTAGAAGTTTATATGCAATTCCTTCTAAATAAAATGAAAATATTCCCCAAAGTAATTGCAACTCATTTCAATTAATTGTATTAATAAATAAAGTATGTTGATAGAAACAAATCTTATCTTATTTTCATTGATAAAAACTTGTTTTTATTTAATAATTTTTTAATATAGGAATAATTGGGAAGAAACATGTTGGTCCAGAGGAAGTATTTCCATTTGACTTTTCTCAAACTGAAGAGAACAATTCTATTCTGCAAGTTGGAAGAAATATAACAAAGATTAAATTTTTAGTTAGAAATTTTTTTGAAAAAACAAAAAACAAGTAGGTCTGAATTGTGTTTGAATTAAATTTAAACTTATATTAGTTTTTGATACTTCATTTTATTTTAATTACCTAATCATTTTTTACTTGTGTTTAAATTTTTTGTTTTAAATTACCATACACAAAATATAATTATAACTTAAAATAATTTCCAATTTACTAGTCCTAATCCTTAAAATTTCTTGCCTGGGAGGAACCATCCTCAATATTCTTACTGAGGCCAATGGGGCTGAGCAGTCCCATTTTAAGTATATTTCTTACAACAGTAATTTTTAATCCTTTTTGTCATATTTTGTACCCCTTATGTTCCTCATTAATTTCTCCTGGGTGCTTTAATTTTCCAAAACATCCATTTATCATATTTTTCTCAAAGCATAATGATGCCAATACAACCTTTGTGAAGCATTGAGACACTGGTGCTTTGGGGTGCAGTGCATTGAAATTTTAATAATATAATATTAATCAAATAAAAAGAAGGCCTTTTAACCATTATTTATGTATTTATTGTAAGCATAATTATACTCGGATTATAATGTTTAAAAGTAAGTTTGAAAAATTTTGCAAGGTTAAGTTATGCTAAAGGATTAAGAATAAAATCAGTTATTTTTCTGGAAAGGGAGGGGACCAAAAGAAAATCGCTTGCATCAGAGTGTGATCTCCTTAGTCACACCAATGTTTCTCAGCTATTCAAAAGTATAATAATTAATAATGAAGGCAAAGGAAAAAGATGGAATGAAAACCCTTTATTAGAATAAAGTAAATAGGTTTTAGAACATTGTTGAACAATTAATCATCTAGAATATATGTATAGAAACATAGCTTTTAAAGTAAAATCATAAAATATTGATCATATAACATTTTCATAAAATATAACATGATTAAGTCAAGAACAGTAAATGTATTGAGTATGGCAATAACTTATAAACTGCACAAGAAAGGAGGCCTAGTAGAGTGTAAAAATTAAAATGGATAATATCTTGTATATACATGAGAGAGTAATGGCTGAGCATATGGAATGAGGGTCCCAAAGTGCCAGTTTTGGATTGTTTTTTTCAATTCCCATTTAATATTTATTTCAGGGTTTGAAATTGATAATTTAAAAAAAATCAAAATCAAATCTGATCAAAATTTTATCTGAAATTTTAAAAAATCATTTGATGATTTTTATTAAGAAAGATTTTTATTTTTTATCATAAGTGATAAAAATTATATCCTGATCATTATTTTTCAACAAAATATTTACAATTAACAATAATAATAATTTTTGAGCAATACTTTTTTAAACCAGAAATATAATTTTTTTTATAATCTCTATGATATATTTTGGGTCTGGATTAGTAGGTGGAAAAGTACAGGGAAATTTTTATAGGAGTGACAGGAGACCCAAAGAGTTACAAGAAAGTTCATATAAACAATGGGCCAATTTTCAGCATAAAAGTAGCATCTCCAAGTTTTGTGGTTTTTTAAGTGAGTGATGTTTTTTATTGAATCGAAAGCAATGACTAAAGAAATATTTAATTCAAGTAATTAATAATTACTTCATCGTAAACAAGATGAAATTTACTTTGAATGAACATAGAGTTTATTATTGTTAAAACCATTTACAGAGAACTTTTGAGAGGCTAAACTTAGTTAAGTCCTGTTTTAAAAAAAAAATCATAGATTATTTTTTGTTTTTTATCATCATCCAACTATACTACAGTTACACCACTTTTAAAAAAATGTTTGCTTTAATAAAGTTTAAATTCGTATTAATTAAGTTGATGTTTATCAGTAAAGAATTTGAGATACAGCTCAAGTTTCCTAAAAAAATGATATTTTTTATCTTGTTAAGTAAAAGTACACCTGTTTTCAGCAAAAATGATTAAGAAAAGTTTTTGAAATGCATTATTAAGGCCAACTGAATTTTATAAAGAACACATTTACAATTTTGGTCGAATATATCAATACAAAAACTCAGACCATCAAAATAACACAAATATCGACTCTAGGCAATAAAAACATCAAAACTCCTTCAGTCTATTTCAACCACATAACTCTGAGCTCTATATATAAAGAGAGGTTTGAATGTACATGTCCTGTGTATTTTTTGTGTATTTTAAATCTTTTTTATTGAAAAAAAAACTAACAAACATTATTTCGACTGAAATGACACAAACCTTTTTATATATCAAATGTAGTAAGTTGCAACTACAGTTTTTTTTAATTTACAAAGGGAAAATTTTAAAAGTTCGCTGTGATGTAAGGTTATGAAATGTCACATAATTGACTTTTTACAATAAACCGACGATATATTTAATCTAAAGGTAAGTTTAATCTATACATATAACTTATGACTTACAGTTTCTGATTATCATTAATAAGGTATTTATTTATTAAAGAAGTGGAACTAAGAAAAAAAAAAAAAAATTAAGGCCTACTTGTTGATTAATATTTACTAAGAAATATGAGAAATAATCATATTGGTAAGAAAAATATTAGTATAAATCTATTCCTTCAGTTTAAAACAAAATTCATTCCATTTCTATCTAATTCAATTGCCGCAAGTTAACAAACCTATTCACGTGAGAGCAGGAACGTGCGAGTTGAATAAGCTGAGAACGGAGAGGGTAGGCCGAACGTTGACGGTATAAGCTGACCGCACCCTCCTCAAAAATATTTTGCTCCCTAGACACTAGTCTATTCTACTAGCTAAAGTTCAACACCAACCTGGGCAGGTTGAAATTTATTTTGTGGTGGACCTATGGAATGTATCTTGACCTCCTCACTCTTGTTAGAAATGAACAGATAGGGGATAAATTAAAATTAAAAAGAGGTGTAAAACAGGTAGATTCATAAGCCTACCATAATACAAATGAAGTTTTAGTAACATTAAACAAAATAAAACTCTAACACCATTGTTTAATAAATATTAAGTTTATTATTTCACTCGTAACAAAAAGTCCAGAAATTGAATTTTAGAGAAATTCCTTTTTTTTATTTCTATTAAAAGCTGTTATGGCATAGATTTGTGAATTTCATTTTAAAATGTTATTAATTATATAGGAAAAGAAAAATATATATATTTTTTTTTTCTTCTTCAGTATTAAAACAATTATTAATTCACCTTAAATTTATTTTGTTCCAGCTCATTTCTATTATATGTGGGGTTGCATGATCCTCACAGATGCGGTCATTCAAATCCTAAGTATGGAAATTTCTGTGAACAATTCGGTAATGGGAAACCTGGAATGGGCTTGATACCTGATTGGATTCCAATAATCTACAAACCAGAAGACGTTATTGTTCCCTATCATATTCAAGATACTTCTATAGCTCGTGAAGACATTGCATCACAATATACTGTCATTTCTCGTGCTGATACAGGTTGATAAACTATAGATTAGATAAATCTATATTGTAGAAAGTAATTTCTTATTATTATTCAAAACGTCAATGAGTTAAGTATTAAGTAGCCTTTAAAAAGTCTCCTTGTAACATGGTCTTCAATCTTTGCTTCAGCTTTTTCTCAGGTTAGATATCATTCCAAGAGATTAATGCTGATACCTTATGACCAATTAGTTTTCCTATCTCTATCATACACTTTCCACTATTTTCCTTTTATTATAATTTTTAAAAATCTACTATCGATAATTTTCTTTACATTGCTAAACCATTGGAACTATCTTAAAATAGCTATGGTAAATAGTAAAGATTTATCATCCAGACCTAAGCAGATTGTAGTATTTATAACTTTACCTTAAAAACTTAATGAACTCTGCCAGCTATAGCTGCAGGTTCCAAGCCCTGGTAAAGGAGGAGGGTCCATTACAGCCTGAACGGGTGTATTTTTAGGAATGAAAAACCGTCTCAGGTCAGTAGCAGTGGTATAACATCTTCCCCATGAAGTAATAGGAGAGCTGGCCTGAAAGCTTTAAAGGAGGCAGTCCCTCCATCAGGCTCTGGTCACAGTAGGCCCATAACATAATTGCCCAAGATTCATCTTATAAAACAAACTAATCAGTTTTCTAGGATTAAGACATGGCGCAGAAAAAGGATTATACGTTTCGGAACATGGAATGTTAAAGGCATTAATGGAAAGGAAGTAGAGCTGGTGAAGGAAGTAAAGAAAGCAGGAATCACCATAATGGAAATTACAGAAACTAAAAAGAACAGAAGGAGCAAATCGGAGATTTTGTATTAGTATAGTCAGGAGTGAACCACATTGATCATTCTAAAAGTGGAGTAGCTTGCATATTTCACTAAGACATATTCAGATTCATAACAGAATGAAAAGCTTTAAATGGCAGATTATTATCTATCAAATTTTTATGGGACTAGAAGCTCTACATATTGTTTGTTGCCTATGGACCAAATAACAATACACTTTCCGCAAAAAAATATATGATTTTTGAAACGTTGCAAAGAGAAATAGACGGCAGCGATGGAAGCTCTATTATGGGAAACTTTAATGGCAGAGTTGGTAACAACGACAAAGTATGGCAAGGAACCTTAGGAAGAAGTGTTTAAGAACATCTCAACGATTCAGGAGAACAAATCTTAAACCTATGTCTCACATATGAAATGATAGTAGCAAATAGCATATTTTCCTATAAAAGAATACACCAAAATACAAGATTGGAACCAGGACAAAACAAAAAATCAATAATAGATTATTTTCTCATACCAAGGGAAGAAACCAAATATACAATAGATGTAAGGATCAAGAGAGGTGCTGAAATTGGCAGTGATCACAGTCTTCTGAAGATGGATATCATTCTGAATAAAGTCTCACCGAGAAAATGAAATAACAGGCATCAAAAAGTACAAAAAATAAATGCCTAGAAATTGAAAATCGAAGAAATAGCAACTGCCTATCAGAACATATTAGAAAAAAAGATTCTTTGTGGAATATACCCTTGGGACTCAGACAACGTTGAAACAGCTTGGTCCACTTTTTTTCAAGAAACTTCTGATGGACTCAGCAGGAATAGTATGTGGTAAAATAAATACAGGACAAATACTAAAGAGAACCGCATGGTGGAATGAAGAGGTCAACCAGAAGATGTATTGGAAGCAATATCTAAAATCAAATTCTCATAACGATTATGAAAAATATGCAACTCAAAGGCGAACAGTGAAGATTTAGGTCATAGAAGCCATAAGGAAAACATGGGAAGACTTGGAAGAAAGTTGGAAGACAATATCCGAGACAATCAGAAAATTTTCGACAGAATGCTTTGACACATGCACAAAGAGAAAGAACCTGTTCTCAAGTGAATTAAAGATAAGGAAGGTAATATACTTACAAGCAATGAAGGAATCATGCAGAGATGGGCTGAATACTTCAAGGAACTTTTGGACGAAAATCAGGAAGCTGAACGGTCGAATGTGATCGAGTTGGAAGAAGGTTTTATCAGTGAAGAAGAAACATATAAGAAACAGGAATAGATAGTATTGCGATATATTGAAATGATCAAATATATGAACCAAAAGGGGATAGAAGTATTCCAGCATATACTAAACCTCGTGTGGAAAACAAAGAACATTCCAAAGGACTGGGAAGTATCTGTTATAAACCCAATATTTAAGAAAGGCAACAACAGAAAACGTAAAATCCACCAGGGGATATCTCTTATCAGTGTCCTGAGTAACATATACTCAAAGATTTCAGAGAGACACCTAAGAAGAACAGTAGAATCCACCGTGAGTGAAGAGCAATATGGATTTAGGCCAAATAGGAGTACCCAGGATCTCATATTTACTGTAAGACAAATTCCCGAGAAATTAGTTGAAAGGGACAAAGAGATATATGCTTGTTTTGTAGACCTGATTTAGGCATTTGACAGAGGGAAGAAGATAGCAAAAGCCTTAGAAGACAAAGGAATTGAAATAAGCCTTTCTAAGGCAATTCTCTTTATAAGACTCAAAGAAATGTTGTGAGAACATGCAATAATTTATCAGAACAGTTCACAACTAATCAAGGTATTAGACAAGGGTGCTTTTTAAGTCCTCTACTATTCATTCAATAAAAATAGAAAAACAAAATATGAGATCCTATCAAATCGGATACAGAAATCCACAGCCCATCTTTTTCTCTCTATTCGCTCATGCAGACGACTTGGTTGTTTTTGGAAGTAATGGACGAAACCTTCAATTCTATCTCTGAAATCTTCAGGAAGAATTAAATAAGATAAATATGTAAATAAATGTGGAAAAAACTAAAACTATGAGGATTGGCAGAAAACAAGGAAGAGGTGAAAGAATAGTTCACTTGAGTGGAGTTCCATTGGAACAAGTGAAGAATTTTAAATACCTCGAGAGAAATAAAGGAAAGAATGAAGTCTACAGGAACATGCTTTAACACTATCAAGAAAGGATTCTTAAACAAGCGAGAAGTGAGCAGGGAGACCAAAATGACTGCTTACAAAAATACATTTCTTCTTATAATGCCTTACTCCATCAAGTCATGGACCCTCACCTGAGAACATCAGTCAGATTCAGGCCATGGAGATACAATTCCTGAGCAGAGTTGAAGGAAAAACTAAGAGAGACTACATAAGGAACTCCAAAATAAGGAAAAACCTAAATGTAAGACCAGCCGAAACTGTGATAGAGGATAACCAATTGAGATGGTTTGGTCATGTCTCTCGAAAGCCAGAGAACCGAGTGGCCAGATTTGCATGGAAACTAAAATTGAGGGAAGAAGACCTCAGGAAAGGCACAGGAAGATGTGGGAGGTCAGTGTCAAGGAGGCCTTTGACGGAAGGGATATTGACTTGAAGAGGAGGAGGCAGTTGGCCCAGGATCGAGATTTGTGGATTCAACTATACAAGAAGGCTCCTCACATTGCTCAGTGGTAGAAGAGGAAACAATTAAGAAGAAGAAGATCTTAAAAAGCAATATTTTTTATATTAAATAGTCTTATCTAATTTCTATAATTCAGTTTTTATTAATTACACCATTGTAAAAAAAATATCTTTCTTAGAGAGAAGATTTTTCCTTTTATTAATTTAATCCCATTATATAGTATCATATAGGTGCTGCAGTGGAGGCATTGCAAACATAATTTGGTTCATGGATTTTTAGTAAATATGCAACTTTTGACTGGTTAACCCTTCGACTGGGGGAGTTCATTTGAGTTACCCCGCAAGATCTTAGCTTTTAAAAATGCATTTAAAACTTTGTATTCAACTTTAATAAACGAGACATATGCCTCCCTGGCCGCATATGGCAACAAAAAATTAGAGCGGCAATCGTGTAACACTTCGCTATCTTGCGTATTTGCTCATTTCTGAAAAGTAAAGTAACTGAAAATTAATAAATAATAAAAAGGCTTAGCGAACCCAAAGGTTCGATGCCGACACCACCAATCGCTTATTACACACCTCTCTCCACCGTTCGCCGTCCAGACCCAGTCCCTTCAGATCGGCTTTAATGCAATCTTCCCACCTTCGCTTCGGTCTGCCCCTCGGACGCTTACCATTCGGCACAGCAAATATTAACCTTTTAGGAATTCTCTCGTTACTAAGTCCAACAACTTTACAAGCCCATTTGATTCGCCGCGATGAAATTACCTCAATTATATTACCCGGATACAGTTCACGCAATTCGGCGTTGTGTAACCGTCTGAACTCTCCGGTTAACTCATCCTTCTTCGGTCCGAATATTCTACGCAATATTTTATTTTCAAAAACCTTAAGACGCTGCTCATCCCTTAATGTAAGCGGCCAAGTTTCGCATCCATAAAGAACTGTAGGCAAGATAATTGTTTTATAGATTCTAATCTTTAAGTTCCGGGATAAGAGGCGCGAACTAAGTAGTTTTGTCACAGAAAAATAACAAGCATTTCCCGCCTTCAGTCTAACCTTAATTTCTTCTTCAATTTCGTTTTTCTAGTTATCGTAGAACCTAGATATCTAAATTTCTCTACCTGTTCAAACATATTACCATCAATATCGATATCACCAGTAGTATCGCCATTTTTGCAGCTGACCATATATTTTGTTTTATCCACGTTTATTTGAGTTCTAGTTCTTTACCGGTTTTCATTAACGTTGTCGTATTTAGTTTTATAGTTTCAACGTCTTCGCTTAACAGTACCAGATCATCAGCATAGCCCAGCACGATGTCCCTCCCAGATCCAACCCTTTCTCGGTATGCATTACCTCCCTAATGGCATGTTCTAATGCCAAATTGAACAGGACAGGCGAAAGGGAATCCCCTTGTTTTAAACCCGACCGAACCTCAAATTTTTCGGACAGATTATTACCGATTCTAACTTTATTGAGTGTCTCCGTCAAGCACATCCTGACTAGATTTACTAGTTTTTTTGGAATCCCCTGCTCGATTAGAATATTATACAGTTTCTGGTGGTCAATAGAATCGTAAGCCTTTTTAAAATCTACATACAGCTAGTGAACAATACCGTTGTACTCCAATTTTTTCTCTAATATTTGCCGTAAAGAAAATATTTGATCAATAGTCGAATGATTCCGTCTAAATCTGCATTGGTAGTCTCCGATAATTTCCTCGGCGTATTCCGTGATTTGAATGGTTAAGATTAAAGTAAATATTTTATAACATACCGGAAGGAGTGAAATTCCTCGATAGTTATTACAATCCGTCCTCGGACCCTTTTTGTGAATCGGAATAAGAATAGATTCTTTCCATTCTTCAGGTAATTTCTCATTCACCCAGATCTTTTTAACCAACCGATGTATTTTAGAAACTCCAGCTTCCCCGCATGCCTTAATTAGTTCAGTAGGAATATTATTGGTTCCCGCTGCTTTATACGATTTTTGAACTGCCCGCTGCTTTTTTTTTTTAACTGAAAATTATTATTAAAATAATTGTAAGTGATCATAAAAATTAAATTATATTATTTTTAAAAAAAGGATACCAACGGTGGGATTTGAATTATATATTTCTTTGTATACACAAATTTTTTTCTTACCTAAAAAAGTTCCATATTGACACATAGCGCAGTTATAAATTTTATTATTGCACTTACATTTATTTTGAGTTTTAAACACTTTTGTATTATTCGAAATATATATATATATATATATATTGTTTTAAGGTGGATGGATAAATGATAAAACAATTAAAGTATCATTTTAATTCTGTATATTTTTACATTTATTAATTTTTACTATTACATTTTAATTATTGTATATTTTTAAATTTATTTATAAATTACTTTTACATTACATTTATAAATTACTAGTGGTTCATGTGCTGTCAGATTCCATGAAATGATTGTAAAAATCCAATAATCTTTAAGTCAAAATTCTTGACTTCAAATTTCCTGACTTCATAATTGCGAATGTTGTATAGCCTCAATATGAGACTTTACTTCTAGAAAGGATGGTACCACATATCTTTCGCCAACTCCTTCAATTGTATCAGTAAAGCAAATATTCCCCTATAAATTTATATCTTAAAAATATGGCATTACATGGCTCCAGCCAGCAAGCCCAGACCAGAGTCAAACTAAATATTTCTTAAGGGGATTCATTAAAGAGAAAGTGTATGAAAAAAAGCAGAAAATAGGCACCAATATCTGAAGCTTTCATATTATTGGATATCATCGTTTCGAATTAAACAAATTTTGTGAGCCTAACTTATACAATTCAGACAATTATTTTTTTTTAGTAAAAGATTTTCCATCATATCCACATTTTGAATAAGTAAATTATTTTCTTCAAAGATTTTTATTATTTCATTTTTAAAAAGCACTTGCATTTATTTGGACCCTCTGTATTTAATCTCCATAGAATTACTAAGAAAGATTAAATACAATCAAAATAATTACATTTTGAATTTAATTACTTACAAAAAGAAATGTGAGTTTATTTCAGAAAGTATTGGTGAATGAACTCTTACTTATTGTGTCATTTAATTGTTAATCATGTAATAAGCAGTATAGTTGTCAACTTGTTGAGTCTATGCTTTGTCTTCAGGATCTCTAAATCTATTGAACAATTATTTATGTGATCTTTCGTTCTCCATTGCTCATTATCAGTTACTTTATATCAATTTAATTAATTTTTGTCATTTTTATTCTGATTATTGATGTTTTTATACATTATTAGATAAAGAGCATTTTCAACTCATTTCTTTTCACATAAATAATAGTTCAATGTTGTTTGAGGTCCTAAAGATAAGGCATAGGCTCGAAACTTTGACAGCTGTGTAGTTAAATAGTTAACAATAAAGCGTCACAAAAATAAAGAGTTCATTCATCAATACTCATTAAAACAAAATAATTGTTTTTTACTGTTTTTAATCGTTCCTATCAACAGGTATAGGTCTTATATTAAATGAACTATCAGCTGCTGGACTTGAAAATGAAACTCTTATCATTTTCACATCAGACAATGGTATTCCTTTTCCTGCTGGTCGGACAAATGTTTATGATTCAGGTAAAATATTTTTATCTTTTTAAAACTAAATAGTAATAAATAAATGCGCATTTGTGTGTGTGTGTGTGTGTGTGTGTGTGTGTGTGTGTTTGTGTGTGTATGTGTAGGAATATAGACCTGCAAAACTATTGTTCACAATCTACTTGTTACTAAAATGTTTACTATTTGTTGTGGAAAATTACTTTATTATTCTTTACTTATTAATTCTATAAATGTAATCTATATTTGATTGATGTAAATAATTTTTAAAGTATAAATAAATATAACAATCAAAGTGACAACCACAGATAATGAAGTACACAAAGAGCTGCCTAAAACTCTTTAGCCTCTCTATCATCCCCCCTGTATTTTCTCATCCCCCCACCACAAGGATACTTACCATGTCTACTAGCTCTTATGATTTCCTTAGATTTTAAAGTATCATGGATTGTTATTCAAGTATAAATCGAAAAATTAATTAACCTCTGGCTAAAACATTTTACATATTAATCGTTAAAAATGTAAGTGAAATAATTTACCGTAAAAATGACATTTATTTAGAAACCCACTTACCTTTATTAGCTTTGAGTTTACTATGAAAGTCTTGTAGGTCTGTCTCAATTCTTGTATAATTCTGGATTTGCTTTCTTAAAATGTTTGCAGATTTATTGGCATTAAACAGCAATTACAAAAATAATAGCTGCTGCAAATATTTTTGAAACTTGTTGAGGGGAAGGCAAGGAATATTTCAGGTATTAAAAGTGCAATGAACTAATAAAGCATTTTAATTTCAGTAAATAAAATATGTTGATTATATCAAAAATAAAAAGAGATTTATTAACCCCATAATTACCTTACCTTTAGCGACTTGACAACGTCAAAAACTAAACTTGAAAAAATTGGTTTTAATAATTCTTACTTATCTTCTTCAATATCTTCTAAAACAAAAGATTAAATATAAAACAGTCTAACAATAATATAATTGGGATATAATAATATTGAGCAACACAATAATTGACACAATTGTCGATTAGAAATATATTACTGATTATAAAACAATAGTTCTTACTTTATCTCATGATATAGAATCTTAGAGTTCACGCGTACTAAATATTTTTTGGCTTCTGGTTCTTTTGGAAAACTGTAAGGAAGAACGGATTATATACTTGATTTTAAAACATTTTTCCGAGTGTGGATATAAATAACAATTTTAAAGAAAGAATTAACGATAGGCAACATTTTATTATTAATAATTTACTGATGAAAATACTCTTCCTCATATTTCTGATTATCATAACCAAATAAATGTTATGTTCTTACGCATTTTATAAAATGTAATTAACTCAGTTGAAAAAGTATTTGATCTAAAACAAATAAATATTACAGAAATCAGATGATTGAAATGTTAAATTTTGGTTAAAAGCAAGGAAAACTCCTTGGACAGGAGTATCAATGGGTATCCAGAGGATGTGAGTATCCTCTGCCTGCCATGCCCATCTAGTTCACTCTATACTCTATGGTGGCAACACTATTTCAGACCAACGAGCAACTTGGGTTTGCTTGGCTTGGGTTTATTCCCATGATCCCATAATAAGTTGGTAGTGGAGTGTGGTTAAGTGCTTAGGTAAGTTTGTAATTGTATACATAAATATTAACAAATACGCAAGCTTTTTTCTTTTTTTTTGGCTTATCACCATTGAAAAATTTACAAAAGAGAATAGTGGAATACAATCCATAAAAATAGAGACATATTTAGAAACAAAAGGCCTATATGAAGACATAATAGAAATGGGAAGTAAACACATTGAAGGAATGGGAGGGGAAGAACAAAGAAGTTTTGTCTAGAATTATATTACCTATGAGAAGTGACATACATATGTGTGTGTATATATATATATATATATATATATATATACATATATATATATATATATATATATATATATATTTATATATATGTGTGTGTGTGTGTGTGTGTGTGTGTGTGTGTGTGTGTTAATATTGTATAAGAGAACATTCCTTTTGTAAGGCCGAGCTCTAAAACATGTAATTGTAATTAAGAATTCTTGTGCAGTCATATTGATATTGTTAAAATAAATATGTTTATCAAGTGAATTTGGTTACCTATTCAAGTTATAATAATTAATAGGTAATAATTGGTGACCCTGATAGTTATTAGTAATTCAATTAAATTAGTTTCACTTCAATAATAAATTAATTCTATTAAAATACATTCACTTGGTAAATACATAGTTTTATCTTTGTAACATTATTTTAAATTCATTAGCATTCCTGGAGAAGAAATTGATCCACAGATCGCAGCTACAGAAAGAAAAATCCCTAATTTCTGGAAAACTGAGCCAGAACTGTGGTTTTGTCGAGTTGGAGACACTTTTTCATTTGCTAAAATAAAAAGCTTAACCAAATATGAAATTATAACTTCCCTTCGTGATCTCGATGTTCTAAAGCAAGCTGCAGATTTAGTGAAAAATCTCAGCTCAACCCCCTATGAGGATATTAAGAAGAGACTTATTAATGAATATGCGGAGTCTGAAAGCAAAAGAGTTCAGCGATTACTTGAAGGTAGGCAACTAGGTGATGATAAACTATTACATTGTCTTGGTTCTATGAAGCAGTTGGCTGATGATGGCTCTTCTGATCTGTTGAAAGCGCTCTGGAGGCGGTCACTACCAGCACACATGTAGGCGATCCTAGTAGCTACCGGACACACTGAAATCGATAAACTTGCCGAAGTAGCATATAAAATTCAAGAGGTCAACTCTTCTCATGGAGAAGTAAGTGAAGTTGCAACCAACGATAGGACTACTCGACTCGAGGCTAAAGTTGGTCAATTAGCTGAGAAAATTGCAGCTTTAGTTTCAGATAAAGCTCACAGAGGTCGAAATTCATCTTCTAGAGGACCCAGCATGCAAAAGAAAGAATCTGAAAAGGAAAATTGGCTCTACTTTTATCATTTCAAATTCAAAGATAAATCAAAAAAATGTATGAGACCTTGCGCCTGGGATTCTGAGAGCAAACAGGCTCCGAAGATGGCAATGTATGGTTCTACCAAGGCTCAACGCCGCTTGTTGATGAAAGATAGAAAGTGTGGGCAAGATTTTTTGTTAGATACCGGAGCAGCATTATTGATAGTACCACCTAGTAAAAAAACGTTCATACCAAAAACATATACTTTATTCACCACTAATGAAACAAAAATTAAAACATATGGTGAAGTGGAACTTCAGTTAGATTTTGGTCTTGGGTGATCCTTTAAATAGACCTTTATTAGAGCTGACGTGCCCAATCCTATTATTGGCGCGGACTTTATGTTTCATTTCCATTTGTTAGTGGATCTGAAGAGGCAACGGCTAATGGATAATATTACTCATCTATCATCGAATGGTAGAGTTAGCAATGAAGTCCCATCTTCAATATCATATGTGCCTAATGAACATATTTTCGCCTATCTGCTCAAAGAATTCCCTGAGATTACCAGATCATCATCAAGAGCGCAACCCATAAAGCACTTAATGGAACATTATATCAAGACTACAGACAAGCTGGTGAACACAAAAGCACAAAGAGTTGCTCCAGAAAATACAGAGCCGTTAAAGAAGAATTCCAAAAGATGGTAGACTCAAGGTATTTGTCGTTCCTCCAAAAGTAAATGGGTAAGTGCACTTCATGTTGTTACAAAGAAGGATGGCACAGTTCGACCCTGCAGTGACTTTAGGCAGTTGAACACTCAGACTATTCCAGACCGCTATGGAACTCCAAATATCATGGAATTTAGTAATAATCTCTTTGTGAAGAACATATTTTCATGCCTTGATCTAGTAAGGGCTTATTATAAAATTCCAGTAAGAGAACAGTATATTCCCAAAACCGCCATAATCACTCCCCCTTAATCACTTTGGCCCACTATGAAGAAAGATGTAGCAGGATGGTCAAGATGTTGCATTGGATGTCAAAAAGCCAAAGTGGTCAGACATACTGTTAGACCTCCTGGAAAATTTTAACATTCTGGTCGATTTGAACATGTCCACATGGATATAATCGGAAGTCATTCCAGTGCAGGATATAACTGCCGAAACATAGCAACTGTATTATATGTAGGGTGGATTGCTAGGTTCAGAGTGCCTTCTCTGCTAACAACGGATTAGGGAAGACATTTTGAAAGTGATCTCTTCCTTTTTCTTACTAAATTCCTTGGAACCAGGCGAATGCACACTTCACCTTACCATCCATAAGGAAATGGCTGTGTGGAGAGATGGCACAGAACATTAAAAGCAAGTCTAATGACACACATGGACTGTGATAATCGGATGAAGCTATTGCCAACAGTTCTTCTCGGTTTAAGGGCAACTCTGCGTGATGATATGAGTTACAGAGTAGCAGAAGCTGGTTATGGACAGACTATGCGCCTTCCAGGCGCTTTTCTCTCGCCCACACTTGGCCACTCCAATTTAAAAGAGACAGTGCAAAAGCATAAGCAGTTTATGGATGACCTGCGTCCTGCAGCATTCAGGGCTAGTAAAAAAAGTATTTTTTAAGGGTAGATACCCTTTTTGTTTTTAAGGGTAGATAGGTTAAAAAAAAACCATTGTCACCTCCATACTCAGGACCTTATCCCTTATTGAATTGTAGGGAAAAATTGTGTACTCTGAAGTTGTCTAATAGAGAAGTCATGGTTTCATTGGACCGGATAAAGCCAGCATTTTTATTGGCTAGTCCAGAGAAAATACAGAAGTCTATACCCACTGAGAAAGAAGCTTCAAGAGCTAGTAAGTAAGGAAAAACTGTAAAACAAAATGTCCAATTCGTTTACGCAGTTATTGGGGGTGAGTGATGTAGTAGCGCTACTACCTCCGCCCTAATTTATAACTGCGTCTGTGATAACTTATCACCATGCGATATAAAAATGTAATTAAAAAGGGAAGGTTACTGGGTAGCAGAAAGTTATATTAACTGAGTGATTATACCATTTCTAACATTACTCATATATCAAAATAATGTTAACATTACCTAAGAGAAAATTCCTTTTAAAGGCTGAGCTCTTAAACATGTAAGTGTAATTAAGAATTATTGTGTGGTCATATTGATGTTATTAAAATAAATATGTTTATCAAGTGAATTTGTGTTACCTATTTAAGTTATAATAATTAACAAGTAATGTACATTTATCAATTAGAGGGGAAAAGAAGGCAAAGAAGTTTTTGTGAGAAGTTGAATGAAAAGTTTGAAGGCATCCCTGAGGAGAGGGTAATAAACCTCATATTTGATCTAAAGAACATCAAAAAGAGCAACTCTGAATCTCTGGATGAGTGTCTTAATAGATTTCAGTGTTTGACTCAAGAGTGTTTTGCTCAAGTAGGGAAGAACTTGACGGACAGGAAATTAGTAAGATATATAATTGAAGGTTTGTCCCACAATTATGATCCTGTTGTAAATCCTATCTCAACCAATAGGAACACTAAATTCAGTGAACTGAGCCAAATGCTTCAGTCATTTGAACGGAGAAGTGTATCAAATAGAAGTAATCCAGCATTACAAACATTCATTAAAGGAACGATCTTCATCCATAAATTATGTTCCATGTGCAAAAAAAAAGAACACTTGAAGAATAACTGCTGATTTAACAATGATAAAAATACTGAATCATGTAGAAACAAACCTCCTGATGAACTACAAAAACCTAATTCCAAAAGGCAAGATAATGCTGCCTTTGTCCAGAAATTTGCACTATGTGTGTTTCCCCTGGACCAGCCATTGATCAGTCAACAAAAAATATAAATAGTAATGAAAATAATATTTATTTAAAAAAATAAACTAAAAACAAAGCAATTATAAGAAAAAAAAATGTTATTTAAAAATCAATTAATGTATTCTATAATTAGTCTTTTGAAAACTATACAAATTTTTCATAAATCAGAATAAACTATTTTTTTTTTCTAATTTAAAAGATATCTCTTGTTTTTAAAAGACATAATTTGGTGAGAAAAAAAAAATCAGTCAGTTCAGTAAAGGTTTCTCCCAATTATGAAAATAAGGATAACAGAGGACCAGATAGCAGACATTTTAACCTAGGATGTGACTAAAGAAGTGATAGAAAGACACTTTGTGAATTTAGGTGTGATTGGGCTGATTGAATAAATGTGATACATATTTTGATAGATGTAAATAATTTGTAAATTATTAATAAATATAACTATCAAGGTGGCAACACTGGTTTAGACCAACGAGCAGCTTGGAGATGCTTGGCTTAGGTCTGTTCATTTATGGCATCCATTAGAGTAACATTGAATCTCAATTGTTTTGTTTCAATACCCCAAGATCCCATAACACTATCAATTTCTTTATGATAATTGTTTACTTTCTTTAGTACTAAAATATATATTATAATCATTTTTAACTTAAAAATAAATATTGTATTAAAAAATGAGTTAATAATTTACACAACTTTTTTTTTAGTAAATTAATTCTAATGATTGTTTGTTTAATTAAAATTAAATATATATGTTTTAGGAATAGCGGTTCCATTAATAATCTCATCACCTGACCAAATAGTCTCAAAAAATAAAACTACATCAAACCTTGCTAGTTTGCTGGATATTACACCAACAATATTAGACTGGTTTAATATTCACTCAAATGAACATGCTTTTCATTCAAAATTTACTGGAAAATCTCTTCTGCCATTACTAAATGGAGGTAATTAATCTTATAATCCTCTATATTTATTTCCATCATAATACAACCCCTGATTAGTCTTGTTCTTCTAAACGATTGTCTGCCATTTACTTTTATCAATAAAATGCTGAAGTTTTCCCATTTCTGATTGCTTGGCTCCTGGAGTCAAATGCTACTCCAACCAAATCGACTTATGGCTGACTTATTCTATAGAGACTTAATTTCTCCACCTGTTTTCCAAAGTTTTTTTTCCTGCTAGGTTGACTACCAAGCTGAAATACCTCAGTTTAGCTAATTTCACTAAATATATGCATGTATTAACCATAAGTGTGTAATATTTTACACCATTGAGAGGTTATGGATTAATATAAAATTATTAATAAGTTTATAATATTTCAATGTATTTTTTTTAATTTAAACTAGGGGATCGAACCCTGTCCAACCCCAATTTTACATATTATAAAACTGTTCATTTAATTGCACTACCTGTTACTCAAATTGTATAACTGTAATTTACATGTATTAAATAGTTCAGATTGTATTGTGTTTTATCAACATAAAATAAAAGGAAAGAAACAACAAATTTTAATTTTCTTTAAATCTATAATATACATGCCTTATTGCCAATTCATATTATTATATAATTATAATTAATCTTATTGCCAATTTTTAACCATAATAAGGGAGAAATAGTTCTGGGAATAAGAAGTGTAGTGTTTTCATTATGGTCCATCCCGCTGGTGTCTTTGTTATGGTTTGTCTGCTTTGTATATGTAAAATAAAAGGAACCGGTACTCTGTGAGCCTGCACAGATTCACATAAATATGAATCGAGGTGTTGCCTCGCAGTTCCTCGATGCTTCTTATTTCTCCACTTAGCTGAGCTCCATAAACGTTCTATATGTTGAGTATCAACCACAGTTGATGGATCAACAAAGTTATACCAGTGATTTACCTGCAAATGACTATAGTTTGCTTCATTCAGTTGTTGGGTGTTGTATCCTTTCCAACAGTCAGAATAAATGGTGATTTCCTCTTCTATATTATTTTTAATACATTGTAATAAAGTTCTTGCCTTTCTGTTTCTCGACAAACTCTGCCAAACATGTATTGTTCAAGGAGAGCTCTCCCTACATGATTTTTTCTTTTAGAAAAAAGACTCTCGTCTACTTCAACGACTTTCCTAGGCCCTCCAGTTTTCTTAGTTGACCTGTATAACATGTTATGGGCACAAACCTCTCTTAAAAATTTGTTCCACATTATGATGCATCTGTTCGATAGTTTCAGCTGCTCTTTGCCCCACTATATTGTTGTCAAATTATGAGATCACCCATAAATTAATTTTAAAGCAGTTGAAAAGGTAATCTTGGACCCCTCTAACCACGTCCCTTTCCTTATAGATACGTTTTCCTTACAGGTGTTACGAAAGCATCTCCATTTTGTTTTTCGTCCATCTTCAACTTCCCTTCGACTATAGGGGAGGGGACATGCAGTTGATATAAAGGGCCTTCATCATTCCCAAAACTTCCCTTTACTCCTCCCACTCACCTCAACTTGTATTTAATTGATAGAAAATATAATTATTGTGTCATTATTATTATTTTTGCTATTATTATACTTTTAAAATTATTATTTTTGTTATTATTACACTTCTATCTAAATAAAATCTAGTGAAATGAAACTTCTTGGTTCAAACTATATTCTGAGTATTTAAGAGGTAATTTAATATTCTTATTATATAAATGAGTGATATAAAAAGAAAAAGATTTTGTGGAGAGGAGTTACAGTTCCTCACATCTCTTGTTCTCAAAAAAGCTGAGAACTTAAAGATACAGATACTGTTTAAAAAAAAAAATAAGGCTTGGGAGGAAATTCTTGCTGAACAAAACATTTAAAGGCATAACTAATGAACTTTTTAATTCTTTAAAATATCAATTTCTTTTTGCGGATGCTCAAGTCAAGTCATTAAACTATGCCAAAGTTTATCTGTATCTGCTGTAACTCCTCTCCACAAAATATTTTTCTTTTTATATCACTCATCTATATAATAAGAATATTTATATATAATACAATAATTTATTACGTATTTGAACAGTCCAGTTACCTCATTTACTTAATCAATGTTTAATAAATATTTTAAAACGTTTTTATGCCAATCTTTAAGAAAAGAGAAGCAATTATATATCATTATCTGGCTTATATCAAACTAATTCTGAGAAGTGGAACAGAGAAAATAACGTTCTCAATAAAATTTTTCTTTTTTAGCTTTTAACATACCTCTTCAATACTCAGAAAATAGTTTGAACCAAGAAGTTTCATTTCACTAGATTTTACTTAGGTAGAAATATAATAATAACAAAAATAATAATTTTAAAAGTATAATAATAGCAAAAATAATGATAATAACACCATAATTATATTTTCTATCAATTAAATACAAGTTGAGGTGAGTGGGAGGAGTAAAGGGAAGTTTTGGGAATAATGAAGGGCCCTTTATCTCCCATAAATGTTACCTATAGTAGAAGGGAACTTGAAGAGGGGGACTCTGAACCAGCCTTTTAGGGATGATAAGGGAATAGTGGAATATAAGGGACGGCTATGCATACCACGATATATCTTAACATGCTAAACATCATAATATCATGGCATTGATCTGTAGCACATTAGTTTTTGCAATTTTAACTCTGAAATTAATTCTCCGTCCTCTTCCATGGCACGGGAAAAATCCTGTATAGTCATAAAGGTGAGGAAGAAAAAAAAATTATTTATCTGATGTAGTTTTTAATTTCTTGTAGTTCATGCTTATTTTTTATTCCATTGTCTGTACTTTAGTAATAGTTATTATTTTTTTAAAACACTCAGAAGTAGATATTAGATTAAAAACCTAGAGGCAAAGATTGGGAACAGAATGACCAAATAGTTAACATTTAATAAGGGATAAAAGCCATCTAAACCTATTGCTAACGATATAAAAAAACAAAACAGATTATACAACTTGCTACCTGAAACGTTCATTGTTTGAATGGAAAGGTATGTGAACTTGTGGGTGAAATTTGAAGGGCCAGAGTGGATATGCTACGCATCACCAAAACAAAGAAGAAAGAAAACGGCAAACTGAAGATCCTAAACTAATCTCTTTGGTACTCGAGGGTCGATGAGAAATAGAAAGCAGCCAACTAAATAGGATTCATGTATCATAACGATCTTGCATCAGGAATCAAAAGTCTGTTAGTGTGGTTAGTTTTTGTTCTTAATTGTATTTGTTTCTTAGATAAACTGTGATATAATTGTTGTGTTGTTTTTCTGTTTTTTTCTTGTTTTCCTTTCATATGTAGACGAATCAATGAGTGCTCAAAAAGGGCATATAGAGGGAAGTGGAAGGAATACAATTTTTGACTTTGGGGCACGTAAGGAGTAGTAAGGAGGGGTAACGTTTTTTTTTTGGAGTAGTAAGGAGGTGAACATACTAAATGTCCCCACTCCAAAGTGGTGAGCCAAAGGTGGAGGGGGCTCAAAATGTCACTTTTTCAAAATGTCACTTTTGTTTGCCACTTATATTGGCATTTAGAACACATGATAAGCACACATTTGCCTATAAAAATTTTGGTTAGAACGTTTTCAATCTTTTCTGGATTGTATTTCAACCTTAAATTTTTGCATGAAAGGAAGAAACTGGAATTAGGGAGTAGGTTAAGGATTTCTTTGCCTATTTTATTACCATTCATCAGGCAGTTAGTCTTCCTGGCCAGTGAAACCTTGGTTTGCTTAGACATCAAAGGTTTAGGAGACAGGGTGGCCGAATGGGCTAACGTGTGTGCATAGCACTGCGTATCCTATGCATGTATCCTACATTTATAGTTTACTACATGATAAATCCTTTTTTATTTTCTATAACTTAATATATTTTCTTATTTTCATTTCATTATTTTTTTTTTTGGTTTTCAGAAATAAATTCAGAGCAAAAAGCAGTATTTTTTAGCCATAATTTACATGAAGTTACAATGTACTATCCAATGAGAGCAGTTAGAACGAAGAAATATAAATTAATACATAATCTAAATTATAGAATGCCTTTTCCAATAGATCAGGATTTTTACATTTCGCCAACATTTCAGGTTTAAATCTATTTTTTGTACTTTAAATATTTTTAGTTGATTACAAATGTCTAATACAATGTGTTTTTTTGATCTGAAATAGAAGTACTCAATTAAAGCACTTCTGGTTAATTATGAGCTACAACCTTTTGTGTGATTTCCTTTTATTATATCTTTTTCAATTTAGTTTTTGTTTTTTATTCACCAATTTTTATTAAATATGGAGAAGACAAAAGCCATCCTGATCGGATCCCCTCACTCCTCAAATCCATTTCAGCCCCTCCTAATCTTCTTCTGAACAAATCACCTATCTCCTTCCATACCACCGTTAAAAACCTAGGTGTTCCCCTCGATCAAAGCCTCTCCTGGAAACCACACATCTCCCAAATTTCCCGCCGTACTATATCCATCCTGAAACAGTTTAACCATCTACGTTATCTTCTTCCGTTCAAAACCCGTCAACTCCTGGTCTCCTCTCTTGTTTTCTCCCGCTTCGACTATGGCTGCATGGTGTATGGTGGACTCTCGGGAGAACTCGAAGCTAAAATTAAACATTTAATGAATTGCTCAATCCGCTTATTTCAAGGGATACGCATATTACCCTGTTCTACACCAAGTTGAAGTGGCTTTATCCGTCCTACCAACGTCAATATTTCCTTGCTACCTTCCTATACCAAGCCATTAGAACACAACAACCTACCTATATTCTACAAATCCTACAATTCAAACACTCCTTTCAATCCCGTCCCACCAGATCCCGTGCGTCCGACCTCTATCCTCCTCTTCACCAAACTGCTGTGTTTGATAAATCCTTTTTAATACAAGTTGTCTCCCTCTGGAACTCTATACCTTCAGATATTCGACAAGCAAAATCAATATCCTTTTTCAAATCTCTCATCTTCAAACACCTACTCCATTCCCAATCCGGTTGATCACGAAATGCACTTAAAAACTTAAGCTGTAAAAACCTCAAAGTACACCCAGATACTCTGATTATTTAGTGATTCATCAATATTTCGTTTACTTAATTACTTTCTCTGTATATTTTATATTTACAGGTGTTTTTATCTTTTTATTATTTATAACTCTATTGTATTCCTAATCAACCTGTATATATTAAATTGTATTTTATGGACACACCAAAATATTAATATATATTCTGTATTTGTAACTTGTTCTAAAGAGACACTAGTCCCAGAATAATAAAATTATTTTCATTCGTTCATTCATTCATAGGCTTCCTATGGTGAATTAACAAACTTCAATTCCAGCTTGGCGCATTAAATTTTCTCTAAGCAAAAACAGCAATTACTAGCTGTAAAATTAAGATTACTGCTAATAAAAAGTGATAAATAAATTTAAAATTACTAGGTTGAAAAAAAATCAAAAACAGGAAAACAATCAGAGTAATGATGTCGAAATGTGTTAGACTGTAACATCTTGATAGATTCCAGTATACATGAGTCCGTTACAAATGTAGGTATGAGACAACTGTTAAATACAAATAGCAGAGAATACATTTTTTGGATTATAAATTAATGCTACCTGAAATTGTGGAGGTAAGAAAATTAGGTTCATTTAAATAGTCACTGTAAAGTAGAATCTAAACATAAGAAACATACCTAGACAATGGATATACTATAATAAGGTGTGTCCAGTGAATGTGTAAAACCCATCAAAATAACAATAAGGAAAACTGTGGCTTAAGTGGTTTAACTATATTTCAAGAAGACAGAGCCTGGATGAACGACAAAAATATCTTGGAAATAAAGGACTCTGGAAATCTTGTTGGAGAGGTGGTAAGACAGAAAAATAGTAGTAGAATAGTAAAGAGAGTGTGTTAAAAATATAATAATATTAGAGAAGACACTGGTATTGTTTGTAGTTTTACTACTAATTTGAAACACTCATGTGTGAACACACTCATATATATTTATCGTTTTGCTCATTATAATTATTGTTAGGGGACTAAATGTCCCAGAATAAAATTTAATTTCTTCTTCTTTCTTTCAAGACTGCCACATAATGAATTCATGTCAAGTGAAACAAATATAGGAAGAATCACTACCTCAAATGGAACACAACCGAAATTTAACAAGATAGTGGATTGAGCTTTTATGTTCGGACACATTCATGGTGTTCCCTATGGCTACTCAGACAACACTGTTTGTTCCAGGAGGAATGGCTGTGTGATACAGGCAGGCTAAGGGCTAGATACCACTTGGATTTTTCTTCTCGAGAAGGATACTGTTCTTCCTAAAGGTTACTCTCCTTCTTCCTTTGTTAGGTCTGCTGTTTCAGTGTGTCCACATATTCAAGCTGTCACGTACCTACCACCATTAGATCAGGAGAGATGGCTCGGAAGAAGGTCCTCAAGGAACTCCTCAGGAAATAAAATGACATAAAACTAATTCAGGTTCAGCTGCAACTTGGACAGTGAGAAATTATATAAACGAAATATAATAATAAAATATAATAATACATAATTCCCTGATTATATAATTAATAATAAAATAATGCTTAGTAAAGAACAAAAGAATATTAGTATTGATTTCAATAGCATTTTCTTATAATTAATGTGACATTTATTTACAGGAACTTTTAAATAATACTAGATTTAAAAAGCCAACTCATTGGTACAGAAAATTACAAGATTATTATTACCGCCCAGATTGGGAATTGTACGATGTATTAGCAGATCCAGAAGAAAAGTATAATATTATACACCATTCTTCATACAATGTAAGATTTAGATAATAATTTACATAAAAAGTTTTTTTGTGAGAAAGAAAGAAATTTTCTAAAAAATATCTCCTACTATACTATGCCATTCTTTGTTCTCCTTAAAATATTAAAAAGCTGCATCATTTCTATTATGTTCTATAAGTATGTAATTACCGTGCAATAGTTTTATTGTCACTAAATTTAAACTATTAATGTTAAATAACTATAATATTAGAAATATTGCTGTATTGAAAAAATTGTTATGTAAATTATATTTTTTTTCTCCTGATCATTTAAAATAAGCACTTATTCTGCCCTCCCTTATAAGTGATTGAGCACAGAAATTGAAAGCTAGAATGTCGGCTTGAAAGACAGACTTATATAGACAAACCTTGAGAAATGAATATTCCATCATTTGGTTTATCCTTCCTCCAGATGCCAGCTCCTGATCGCTATAACAGTTTACTCTATTGCACGGTCTAAGAGAGTTATTCCTGCCTATCATCGAATTATACAGTATATCATGGATGATAAATATTCGGGATGCAGTCTTTTAAAAAAAAATTTTATTTGTGCCAATATTTCAATCCAAACATGTGGGCCATCTTCAGGTCGTGGTTCGAGCACTGAAGATGACCCACATGTTTGGGTTGAAACGTTGGCACAAATAAAAAATTTAAATTTTTTTTAAAAGACTGTCCTGAATATTTATCATCTATGATATGTAGAACAGTTGACTAGCTTCCTTCAATTATACAGCATATCTCTATAGTTATCAACTTGAAGGTCAAAGTTCATCAGAAGCACCTCATTGCTATCAATCCTATCAAACACGATCCCATGACCCTAAAACATCAGGCATATTTTGATCTTGTTCCCAGTTTATCCAATCTAAAGGCAGTTCTAAGAGCATGTACTTCCATCTCTAAATGCAATGGTGTCAGATTCAAGAGAACTTCCATTGCAGCAGTGGGAATAGTGCTCATTGCTCCAGTCATCATAAGTCACGCGAGCTTTTGAAGTTTGTCAAGCAGCATTCTAGGCTTGCTTGCAGCTGCCCTGAGTCATCTCCTTCCTTAGAGTAAACCTTGAAGTAATTGACTTCTTTACTAAGATTATAATGCATTCATACAGATGAATGCATTCTTGCATAAGGAGCAGGTTATCCATTAATCTGGAAGAACTTTAAATTGTCTGATGCTGCCCCAGCTTCCACTATTGCTAAAATATCTAAAATATAGCCTTTGCTAAAATATAGCATTATGATTGATAACGAAAGTTTTAAGTTTGGTGAATTTGTCATTAGTAAGTCCACCCGAGTTCCAAAAAAGAACTTTTAAATGGGAATTTAGGTCTTGAGAAAGACTGTTTACGTGAGACGTTAAGGATGTAGGTCTCTGCATACCTGTATTAGATGGGCTGATATTTGCTTTCAAAGGCCTTAATACATTAATTTTTACTCAAGTACTTCAAACCTTTTTCAACTTCGAAAATTGTAAACACTAGCCGAATTATTAATAGAACACATTTTATATAGAATTTTATGAGGAATATTTTCATTCCTATTTATTATTTCCATCCAATCAATGGATTTGAAGTTAAATGAGAAAAACTGACAACGATTGTCAAATGTGGAGGTGGGAGGGGTGGTTTCATCCATCAGGGAGTTGGGAACTCTTTTAATTCTTATTCCTGACCCTAAAAAGAAAAACTCCTGTGAAGAACAAAACTTTATAAATTATTTCCCAGATATGCCCTTTTTTGGTCTAAGGTCATGGGACTATAGGGATTTATAGCCTACCTTCACAGCTGTTTAAGGATGTGAGAGAATACCTAAGACCTAAGCTATTAAAACTAATGCAGAAATATAGGAGGAGGAAAGAGGTCTGGAATACAAACTTGATCTGTCTTACACTGAAGAAGAGCTCATAATTTCAGAGGCTTTTTCTGGTTGCCTATAAGATAATAACTGATATTCTACTAAATTGCATATAACCACTTTATAAAAAAAATAATACTTAGTTTACATTCATGTTCTTTAACTAACTTTACCTACCAGTCAAAATTTTGAAAAAATCAGTCATTGACCACACTTGGTCCAATAACCGATACCCAAAAATATTGGGAAGTATTATATGCTAAAGAGAGAGGGGGGACTCCTTGAAATAAAAAACCTCTAAATAATTTTTTTTTAATTATGGCTTGTAGGCAAAGACTAAAGAGAAACAAAATATAGAAAAAAAAAAATAGATGAATACCAAGCAGGAAGGAGCTAGGACACTAGACCAAATATTCATCCTAAAATAGATACTTCAAAAACAATGGGTAGTAGATCAGAATGTGCAAGCTCTATTTGTCGACTTCAAAGCAGCCTATGATTCCATGCAAAGAATCTGTCTTTAGAAGATCGCGACTCACAAGGAGAGGATACAGTCTATTTATCACCGATTTCAACCAAATTTTTTTTGGTGATACTACATTGAAAAATATTAGATAGGTGTCCCAACATTCTTTCCAATGGGCCCTAGGAGCTGATAAAAATGCAGGCTCATTGAAAATTGTATAATGTTTATGGTGATGAGTGCTTAAGCGAACAACACTATGAGAATTGGTTTGCTTGTTTTCAATTCAGAAATTTTGCTGTTAAAGATCAACCCTGTCTTGGCCAACTAATTGTTAAAAAAGGCAATGAAATTCTTCAAAAAATCGAGGTAGACCTACACATTTCATTTCGCAACATCCATACTATTTGTTTCGGACTCTGCAGAATTCTATTAATGGTGTAAAGCTGGAGTCAAAAGAGGATTGTGAAAACCACTTCGTTCAGTTTTAGTCCAGAAATCCCAGAACTTCTGCAGTGACGGACTTATGATTTTAGCAGAAAAATGGTAAAAGGTCATCAATCAAAACCACACATATATCATTGTTTAATGTTTTAAATTTATATAAATAAATTGAAAAACATGAAAAAAAAAGAAATTTTTTTTCCTCAACCCAATATATATATGTATATATATATATATATATATATATATATATATATATATATATATATATATATATATATATACTTATATATATATATATATATATATATATATATATATATTATATATATATATATATATTTTCTGTTCACTTTACAGACATTTTAGACACACACACACACACACACACACACACACACACACACACATATATATATATGTATATAGTATTGACCATATTAATAAATACATTTTCTAGGTTACTCTGAAAAAGTTGAAAATGATTTTGGAAAAGTGGCAAGTGAAGACTAACGATCCATGGGTCTGTGGGACAACACATGTTTTAGAAAACTCAACTTGTTTACCATTATATAATCTGTGATACAATCTTATTTATTTTTTAAAAAATGGATATGTTCTCTACATATCATAATTTTAATTAAAGCAATCTGAGAATTAAATGTTTAAAATCACTTAAAGATATAGCTTATGATTTAATTTATTATTAATCAAGTATTTATATGGTCATCAATAAAGTTTACATGATAATCATGTAATCAACTTTTATTGTTTATTTTTTTTTTGCTCATCAACTTCCTCTCCCCTCTCCTTCTCCCCATCTCAACTTAAAATTTAAACAAAACATTTTTTTAATATATACACACCCATATTCATAGGGTGAATTGGAAATACCTCTATCCGAGGGTAGAGTTTTTTTTTTTTTTAAATGAGAAACATTTATAAGGAATGGGATATTTTATTTCAGAAATAGGCATAATCTGGCCTATGAAAAACCTCTTGCTGCATGACATAGAGGATATCACTACCAATTTAAGGTAATAGCTCACTATTATAGATTAATGTTTCTAAAAATTAATCCACCAATTGCTTTAATTATTTTTATGAAAACGTAAATAATAGGATTTAGAACATGTAGTTTGTCACTTCATACAATAAGAATTAATTCTCATAAAAGAAATATGGGTAAAAGACATTGGTATATTATTACTTCAGATGATATAGATTTAAAAAATCTATTCAGCAAGCTGCTTGGACCGCCTCCTCCCCAAGAAATTCCCCAAGAATTCCTAAGAAGAACAATTTACCACATCACCTCCTTGACCTAATCCATACAAAACAACGTACCAGATCACTGTGGCAATGTACCAGACACCCCACTGATCACCAGTCCCATAATTACTACTGTAAAAAACTAAAGTGAGAATTAGCCACCTATAGATCCGAATCCTTTAACTCCTACCTATTATCCTCCCTTTCTGTTTGCGACAATTCTCTTTGGAAAATTACAAAAAAAAAAATTTAAACCTCATCACATTTCCCAACCCTGCTCTTGGGCAGTATCTGATGAAGATAAAGCCGAGCAGTTTGCTAAACACCCATCTAATACATTTATTCCCCATCTGGAATCCCATCCCATCCACACCAAAACAGTAAATGAATTCCTAACATCACCTATTCCAATTTCCCTGCCCCTTAAACCAGTTCATCCTTCTGAAGTAAAATTTCATTTACAAAAATTAACCCTTCCCAAATCTCCTAGATATGATCTCCTTACCCTCAGATCCTTCAACAACTTCTATCTAGAGCAGTCATATTCCTCACATATGTCTATAATTGCACCCTACCTACCACCCACTTTCCTCTCTTATGGAAACATTCCACTGTCATCGGTTACCAGGAATCGAAGAGGAAGCAAGGTTAGAAACAAGAGGATTCGGATGGTTATGAAGTTTATTACGGGAGGATTGGTATCTGGATTCGGCCAAATCGGAAACATATGGAAGATTGAGGTCTTTATGGATTATTTTATTTGTGACAAAGTAAGGAGCATTGAGGATTTTAAAGATTGGATACAAAAGGAATCTGATGGTTTAGTGGAGCCCCACAGTTCAACTCCACAAGTCCAAATAGGTCTTATTATAGTCATGTATATGAGTCGTTTGTAATTAATGGGAAGTTTAGAGCGTTTGTCAAGTAAGTGTTGGAGTAAGCGGAAACGTCGAGCAGTTTCTTGTCGTTTCAGTCTTGTATGAGAATTCCAAGTGAGACGTTTGTCCAGCTGGAGTCCAAGGTATCGGATTTGTTCTACAGGGATAAGTGGGGTGTTGTTAAAGGATACTTTAGGGCAGCAAGTCATTGGTTTACGAAGAAGGGTAAAGGTAATTTGGTGGAATTTATTGTAATTTATTTTAATCCTCCAGTTTTGACACCATTCTTCAAGGTTTGTGATGTGTGATTGAAGGGTTTGGGATACAATTGTTGGATCATTATTAACTGACAGAATACATGTGTCATCAGCATACGTAGTGATGACAGTGTTAGGATGGGTTGGGATATCAGCTGTATAAACTGTGTAAAGGATAGGACCAAGGATACTACCTTGAGGAACTCCGGCAGATTGAGAAAAGAGGGATGAATAGGTATTATTGTGATTTACTTTGAAGTGTCTATCAGTAAGATAGGAATTGATGATAAGAAAATATGTAGGGGGAAGGAATTTACGGAGTTTGTAAAGTAATCCCGGATACCAGACTCGATCAAACGCCTGTTCAACGTCGAGAAAAACTACAGTGCAATACATTCCGCGCTCCAATGCAGAGGAGACAACGTCTACCACACGATGACATTGCTGGATAGTGGAATGGGATGTGCGGAATCCAAATTGGTGATCAGGGATTATGTGGTTAGAATCTAGGATGGGATACAGGCGTTTTAAGATGAGCTTCTCCAGGATTTTGCCCATGATGGGTAAAAGAGACATAGGACGGTAAGAGGATGGGTATTCTGGTGGCTCTTTGGGTTTTTGTATCATTTTGACTACAGATAGTTTCCAAGGGTCAGGAAAATATGTGAAACGGAGTACGGCATTATAAATGTAAGTGAGGAATAGAATGGCTTTTCGAGGAAGTAGTTTAAGAATATGGGTGATTAGGTCGTGGCCAGGAGCTTTGCGGGAGGGTAATCTGTGAATAATATTGGATATTTCTGAAGGATGAAATGTTTTAGGAGGAGGAGTCATTTGGAGTGGAATATCCAGTTCTGTTTCAATACATTCAAGCTGATTTGGATTAAGGATATCAGGATGTGGATTAAAAGTTTTGAAAAGGTGATGAGCAAAAATTTGGGATTTTTCTTCATCAGATTTGGACCAAGTTTGAGCTTCAGTTAGAAGTGGATGATTAAAGTCTTTAAATTTCAGGAGGCGTTTAGTCGTCGTCCACAATGATTTGTCGGTAGGTGTAAGTTTTTCAGTAAAATTTAGTAAATTTTGAATTTTGTATTTTCTAATTTCTGATTTTAGTTTGTTAGTCAGTTGGGTATAATGAGTTTTATCTGTTGGATATCTAGTTCTATGCCACTTCGATCTTGCTCTGCGTTTTTCCTTTAATAAGATACGAATATGCTGTGGCAAGTTAGTCTTTTGTAAATTGTTAATCTTACTGTTAAAGGTGTTACTGTTTATACTGTCTGTTATTGATGTTGTAAGTTTATCTATGGCACCATTAATGTCTTCTTTTGTCTTGAGCGGAATTTTCAAGTCAAGTTTGTTTTCCAAGTCATCACGAAAGTTGTCCCAGTGTACTCGTCCTGTAATCAATTTAGGAGATGATGGTTTAGGAGCATAGCTTGAATGTAGTGAAAGCAGCACTGGACTATGGTCTGAAGAAAGGTCATCGAGTGATTTGATTAAGGCTTGTGAGAAGGAAATCTGGGAGGTGATAAATATATCTAGGATATCGGGACGTTTTTTGAGTGATGTTGGCCAATAAGTAGGACTCATGGGCGAGAGGATTGAATAACTGTTGGAAGATGAGATACGTGAAAGGATGTTACCGCGGGAGTTGGATGTTCGACAACCCCATCGTTGGTGTTTAGCATTGTAGTCTCCTCCAGCAATAAAGCGCGATCCGAGGGATTGAAATAAGGATTCAAGGAGGTTATAGGAGATGGAATTACCAGGAGGACAGTATACAGCTGAGAATGTGAGATGGAAAGGGCGAGTTGAAAGGACTATAGAAGTTGATTGAATGGCATCAGTTGGAGTGGAAGGAATAAGGGAGTGGGATAAAGATTTATGGATAAGGATGCAGGAACCAGCGTGGGAAGTGTTATCTGGGTGGTCAGATCTGTAAGTGATGTAGTCATGTATGTAGAAATGTGTCCGTTGAGTGAAGTGAGTTTCCGTCAGGAGGGCAATGTCAATGAGATTGTCATGGAGAAATAAGTCTAGTTCGTCTCGGTGGTTGAGTAATCCATTAGCGTTCCATAAAAGGATAGCTAGGGGCTTTGTATTCATCGGGGGAAGTTGAACGGGATTTCGGAAAGGAGTCTGGTGAGGAGGGTAATAAGCGGTTTGATAGTCTCTTGAAGATCTATCAGGAATGTTGAAAGGACAGAATTGATGTCGGAAGGTTTTTGGCTGTGAAGTGGATTTAGGTCAGGAGGATGTGATGGGTAATTTGTGTGACTAGGATTGCTGGAAGGGGGATGTGCCCGACGTGGGATGCGAGGAGTTGGATCTATATTCTGTTGGGCTTGTGATGGGATGTTTACATTGGGATTAGGAACGGATGGAACTGGGGGTGGATGCTCTGGCGGGAGTTTGACCCTTAAGGGTAGTTGGTGAAGAGGGATTTGCGGACGAGGAGGTTGAGGCTGAGGTTTAGCAGTTTTAGGCTTGGATTGGGAAGCCTGAGGCGCCTGTCGTCGAGGCTGCTGGTTCTTGATGGTGGTTTGGAGATATAAATTTCTCGAACCCTGTTGAGGATAGTCCGTAGCTGTGGAGATGGATGGTTGAGGCTGGATGACTTGAGAAGGTGACGACGGCAGTGCTGGGAAATTTGTTCTATCATCGATTGCGGGAGCCTCAGTCCCACTTTTATGATCAAGGTTAAGGCTTTTCAAAGCCATATTATGTGATCTCAGCTTCAGAAGATTTTTATAAACTACGCAACCTCTGTAGCTCGCTGGGTGTCCCTCGCCACAAAGTGCACATATAGCAGCCTCTTGCCTTGGTTTCTGGCAAAGATCAGACGGATGTGCCCCAGCACATTTGACGCATCTGGCCTGATGATGGCAGTAGGCTTTTGTGTGTCCCAAATTTTGACAGTTAGTGCATTGCACTACTATAGGTCTTTGTCTGGGCTCTTCAAAACGGACTATTGAATATAAAAGACGTTTTACGTTAAAAATTTCCGGGTTGTTTTTTGCAGGTTCGAGATCTATGAAAAATAGCGGTAGCGGGTATTTTTCCTTAGGATGAAGCACGGTAGCTATGTTCCTTACGCTATGGCCTATTTCTTCCAAACCCATTTTGATTGCGCTTATAGAAGTAGTTGGATGAAGCCCTCTTAATACGACTCTGTATGCTTTTTCCTGTCTCAGTTGGTAACAATGGAAATCGTATTTTCGTGAAGTAAAATGTTCAATTAATATTTTGTAATTTTCTTTAGAGTTGGTATTTATTTTAATATCATTGACTCTGGAAAAACATGTAAAATTTGGCTGCCCAATCAGATCGGCGATTTCTTGTCCGAAGGACATAA